CCCAGAAACAGGTGGAGACCATCAGCAGTAATCAGAGAGAGAGAGAGGTGTGACATGCAGCAGGCTGTCAGAAGCAGCAGAGGAAAATACCAGAGGAGCAGAGAAGAATATCAAACAGTGAACAGAGTGATAAATAAAAGGAAAAAACAGAGTGTAAACTGTGACAACAAAGGCTCCTTGTTCCTGTTCTGCACCACGTCCTGGTTTTGTCTCCCTTCGTGTCCTCTCATTGTTCACGTAAGTTGCTGCTGCCACGTCAGCCTTTATGTTTATTTTCATTAAATAACTTTTACTATAAACCTGAGTCCTGCCTGCACTTTGGGTTCAACCACCACCAACGCAGAATATGAGGAGATAAACACAAACACCTGGGGAAGGACAACAGGTGGCAGAGGCAGGAGCTGATCACCTGAGGGACAAACATTGAGGAGTGCAGGACAGACGACACAAGACACACAAGACACACACACATCCTCTGTCTAATTTTGGCTTGCAGGCATGATGCAGATAAGACACCTACAAGTTTTAAGGGATATTTTTTATAATTATGTAATGTTCGCATAAGTTTTTAGACTTTTATATAACTCTTCATAAAATCTGGCTAAATATTGTGTTTTCCAAAAACCATGGCAAATCCATGGCGCCAGAAGGGTTTTGTAAAAACTTTCTCTGATTTGAACTTTCATTTTCACCACATCACATAAATACTTTTGAGCCACTTTGTTTTCAAAGAAGAGTGATTCATATTAAGCCGTTGACCCGTGTCAAAAAGTTTAAACCCCGTTGTGTTAGAGTGACATCATCACTCTCTCTCTGGCAGGGGTGGAAGTAACAAATTACAAATACTTACTTTACTGTAATTAAGTAGAGTTTTTTGGGTACTTGTATTTTTATGAGTATTTCTTTCAAGTGTGTAATTTTACTCATACTTAAGTACAATTTAGACCATGTAATGTACTTCACAACTTTTAAAATCAGAAGTTGCTACTGAGTACGGCTTCAATCTGAATTAATATTCAAACCGTTCATCTGCATTTTTGTAGCCAATAAGGCTCTCAGCTCGTGAAGGCACCAGTTACCTATGATGTAAGCAAAGGACAACTCTGTAGAGTAGAGAGTCCTTTAGGGACCAAAGATTTGGAGAAAAAGCCAAGATGGAGACAGAGGACAACACTGTCAACAGAGAAAATGACGAGGTAAAGGCTGAAGACGAGTGCTCATGTACCTGGAGGAATGTTTCATGTACAGAGGATGAAAAGGAGACAGAGTCCAGATGCAAACTTTGTTTGATCTCTACGGTGATAGCAGCTCACAAGACTTCATCTAATCTCAAAAACATATTGCAGTACACGAGGTTTTACAGCTACCTGTATGATATTACTTTTTATTGTTTGTATGTGTGGGTTATTAGTTTGGCTAAAGATCTTAGATATTGTCACTGCCATCGGTTTGCCTGGTACTAAAATAAGTCGGAGCTTCTGAGCGTCTGAGAAATGTACTTTGAATGTAGTTATTATATACAGTAAATAAAACTGAATGCCTTCTATTGACAACACAATGAAATATCAATTGGTTAAAAAGTAATTGATACTCTGAGTAGGTTTTGAGAGGAAGAGTACTTTGTACTTTAACTTAAGTATGTTTTATAACACCAGTACTTTACTTGTAATTGAGTACAATTTAAGCAGTGTAACAGTACTTGTACTTGAGTACAATTTTTCAGTATTCTTTCCTGCGCTCTGGACAAAGTTCTCCAGAAATAAAAACAAAATACCAGTTTAGTCATGGATGTTCTTCCTGTGAAGTTTTACATATTACCAAGTCATATGAGCTTAAACTACTCCAGCTGCAGTAACAGCTGTGTGTGTGTGTGTGAGGGGGAGGGGGGGGGGTACCTGGAGTAGTCAGGCAGTAGTGTGTTGGGCTGAGAGTGAAGCAAAGTCTTGATCTCGCTGAAGATGCGTTTCCCCCAGGTGTCTAAAACTCTGGTCACGCTGCGCACCGAGGCCACGTTCACACTGTCAGCTGGAAGCAGAACACCATCAGGCTTTACTCAACAGCATGCAACAACAACATGCAATAACATGCAACAACATGCAACAACATGCAACGACACACATCGACACGCAGCTGCAGTGAGCCGTTCAAATGTCTTTCATCAGCAAAGGCTCGAGCTCATCTGGACAGTTTGCTGCACTTGATCCAGCTGTTGGAGTTCAAAGCCTCGGCGGCTCATAAATTTATACCTCCTTCCTTGTAGTTCCATGGACCGTGATCCAGCTCGTTGTCCTCGCCGGCTGCACGGGCCCCGGTTACCATGGCAACTGCCATCAACAGCATCAACAGAGAGAGAGGGGCCATAAAGATCAGAGAAGAGCTCTGCTTTTCTAAAAGAAAAATGAAAAGAGGGGAATCACGCCTTCATGGAAATGAACAGACACTTTAATAAACACAAACAAGAAAAACAAGCTCTCATGTGAAGAAAATGTCATCTGTGATCCAAGTTCAGTTATTAAAAACAGAACTGGTGTTTCTGTTCAGGCAACATTTTACACATAAAGTTGTGAGAAAAACATGTTTTTTTGCTTCAACTTTTGTGTGTGTGAAAAGCCAGAGTCATTTTCAAAGTAAATATCAACATTTAAATAGCAAATGTTCCTTTAATCCTCTAACTTTAATATTTTAACAACAACCTGCAGCTGCTTCCACTACATTTAGTCATTTCTTTATATTATCTTGTTTTTTTTCTTCTTTCCTTGTTTAAATTTAACACTTTGGTCTTCGAACAAGTGATGTGAATTAAGGTCAAAGACAAATTGTTATAAGCATTTTTAAGAAGCACAGTTTGTTTCTGACCCGTGCAGCATGAGCTGCTGTTCAGAGGTAATTAACCTCCTGGTGGGAGGCAAAATCATTTCAAACATCCAGAAACAACAGCAGGACCTGATCACCTGCGAGATGAGAAAATTATTTTTCAATTTCATGATTGTTGGGAAAATTGCAGGTTGCTGTGACCCCAGAATCACACACGTTTTCAGCCTTTCAGGACAATTCAGGACAATTCAGGACAATATCCTTTGACTCCTTAAAGGCTTTAATTTCTTCATACAAACTTAATGTCAAAATTAAAAAACAAAATGTATAATTTTCCTGTTTGTTTTCCTTTTATCCCTCCGAGCAACCCTAAATCCTTGTTTAGGAAACTTTAAATAGACTTTCTAACAGACAGTTCTGTTAAAAACAAGCAACAGGTCAGTAAAACTAAAATGTCGAATATATTTGCTTTCAGGATTAATAAAAACATAAACCCATAAAAATCCACTCAACACTTCTTCCTAACAACAGAAAGATAAACAACACTGATGTTAAAACAAGTCTAAATGGATGAAATGTTTCTTTTTTGGCTGTTAAATATCTGATTATTAGACAAACATTAGAGCTGGATGTTGCACTTTGTGGACGGTCCCTAAACTTTGTTTCACCTCCAGCGTTGTGATTCTTTTTGTTTCTTCACTTACACTGAAAACAAAAGTAAACACAACACCGGCTGCACACAGACACCAGTCTGACTGCAAATTCATGCACACTAACCTGACAGATTCTTCTGGCGCCGGTTGATATTTCACCTCCCAGCACCCACAGGGATCCTGACAGTCCAACCACCTGCTCCAATGTTCAGAACTTTTTTAGGCTGCTAAAGAAACTATTGACTAGAAGGTAAAAAGAGCAACAGGTGTGGTGTACGTTGTGGTCTGATCTAATAAGAACAAAGCTAATCATTGGTCTGATTTTAGACAAAGTAGGAATTCAAACGACTTCCTGAGAGCTGGATCCATGTCTGTCCTGAGAAAACAAAGTTTCATTGAAAACATTTCCTTTTCCCACTCTGATCTCAGTCTGACTGTGGCAAACAGTGCAGTGGGTTCAGGCAGAGAGAAGCAAAATTAGGGATCTAAATGAATCCTTTCTGTACAATGATTTAGACCTTTAAACAAACAATAACGAGCTGGTGGCTCATAGTTTTGTGATTAATCACAGACACATGTCATGATGTAGCTCCAGTCAAACATACCGTATTTTCCACCGTACACATCGCACCGCCCTATAAGACTCATAAGTCCAAATATGCCTAATAAAGTGGAAAAATCCATAAATAATATACGTCGCTTCGCCGTGTAAGTTGCATCTATTATGCGTCACCGCTGACAACCTGGAAACGTGGACCGGTGTTGTGCCAGAAGTCAATGGGCTGCCAAATGGTGGCCACAAGAGCGTGCACGGGAGGACTTTAACAAGAATTTAACAAGATTAACGCTTAAAAACAATTATTTGTTTGCTCAAAATTATAGTAAAGGTGTGTCTCCGTCTAACGATTGCTTAATAAATACACTTTGACGGTCAAATCAGCTGCATTTCAAAAGTTGATTTGCGTAAGCGGGCACGTGCAGAGGGCTGAGTTGCTGTTCATTTCTTCGACATTTACCAAGATAACCACCTAAAACAATTATTTGTTTGCTCGAAATTATAGTAAAGGTGTGTCTCAGTTTAATTTTTACTTAATAGATGCAGTTTAATGGTCAAATTAGCTGCATTTCACCAGGGCGGTGCAGCAAAATGAAGCTTTGACAGTTACTCAAAGCAGCGAGCAGAACGAAGGTGGGGAGACGATAGAGTCATTAATAGCTGGTGAAGATTCTCAGTGTAGTGAACTAAGCCTCAGGTCAAAACCTGCCTCTGAGGACCTTCATGGGACAGAAACTGTTATTTCATTGATTTGAATCCAGAAATACAAATTAAGCTCATCCAGAGACTTTCTCATTGTATCCTGCACTAATCAATTGAAAGAACACTCTCTTTTTATATTATCATTACTATTTTTACAAATGTCTTGATAATCAAAAGTGTGTTAGTTCAAATCATTTTTAAATGTTGAAATGAACCACTCATTTTAAATCAACTGTGAAACAGTATTAATGATTTTTTTTTAATCCTCATTCAAAGTAGAAATCATTTTAAATGTCTATGTTACAAAGTAATTATGCATTTTGATCTTCTGTCTGAAATGAGAAGTAGTGATGTCGGTCAAAAGTCAGAAAGAAGTTATTGGAACGAACTGTCATGTTTTTAAACCTAGCAGACGGTAAATAAGAAGCTACTGGCACCTGCGTCCTCCCACTTCACCAAAACGTTTCTCTGTCTGTTCCTAAACATTTCTCTGTTTTTCTGACTTGTAGTAACCTCTTACGTCACTAAAACCACACCCCTGTTGGTTCTTTCAACCAATCAGGACTTCCCAAATGGGACCGGAAGCAGAACTCTTTAAAAGTCGACACTTCCTAGTTCCAGAAGTTCTGGAGGGAACAGAAGTTCCACACTTGAACCAAAGTTCTGGGAGCACAGGAGAACAGAAGTTCTGGGAGACATGAACCGAAGTTCCGAGAGAGAACAGAAGTTCTGAGTTCCTCTGAGTCTTCTCAGAGTCCCGTTAGTCCTTCTGGTACTGATGGAGTTCGGCTGGAGTTCCTGTAGGAGCCACGATGCCTCGCTGTGGCTCCACCCGGTGAAAGCCTTATAACCTCTGAGGAAGTTTGTTCTGTGGAACGAGTTCTCACGACTTCTGCCGAGTCGCAGCTGCCCTGAGGAGACGCTGAAAGGTAGCGTACCAGGGACCTCTTATCGCAGTTGATTCATCCTCTGCCAAGGTAAGAGTCGTCATGAGCTTCACTACCAGTGTACTGCAGGCGAACTGCGCTTGAAAGGAGCGTGTTGTTCTGGTCTACAGACATACAGCCTCATCCATCTTTTTCCTCTCCATTTAAACTCCTTCATTCCCCCTCTTTAAAACTCTTCTATCTCGCCAGTAAAAGATAAGCTAAGCCGGCAGATAATAATTTAAGATATCTTCAGAAATGTCTCTGGTTTTTAGCTGCAAGTGAGAAATCATGGCCGTATGATTTCTCATTGTAAAGCTCATTAATTAAGCTGTGTTATTGCATTCAATCAGAATAATCAAGTGTACAATGTTTTGATTCTGTTAATAAATGACCACATTCATTTTGATGGGTCAAAGAAAATTAACATCTCACGTCACTGATTAGATCATCTCCACACAGTACTTCTAAGCACATCACTTAGTCCAGAAAAATGAAAGAATCCGTTTAAATTAAGTATAATATCATGTACTTGAACTAGTCCAGATATTATAAAATGTAAGAGAGCACCCCTGAGCTAAATCCATCTCTCGGCTCTCTCACTACATCAGTCATACAGGACATTGGTAAATTCAAAAAAGTTAAGAAAAAATAATAAAGCATAAACTATAATAAATAAAGTCCAGTTGTTTTTTGTCAAACTTTTTTGAATTTGTCATTATAGACACATTTACCTATTACATGATACAACGGCATGCCTTACTCATACTACTACTCTGCTGCCATCTAGCGTCTAAAAATGATACTGTTCAATTTTTTTCAGTCAGAATGAATGAATATCTCAGCCAAAAATTGGTTTATAAATATGGGAAAAAATCCATAAATATGTTGCTTCGGCCTATAAGTCACAGGACATGCAAATTATGCAAAAAACGTGACTTATACAGTGAAAAACACAGTACTAAAGAAACGTGAGACCCTTGTCTCTTCAGTTTTTCATGTCTTGCAGAAAAGCTTCAGGCTGACATCTGTTTTGTAAAAATGGTCCCACACTCACACGGTGAAGTGATGACTTCAGGATGGTCGGCGCGGTCAGTCTCTCCTCCGTGTTCCTGAGCTGCTTTGGATCACAGCGGGGCTGAAAGACAGGTTCTGCTTCTGGGCCCCCTGAAGGTCACTCTTCATCTGAGGGGGGGTTGTGTGTTGTGGGATCTTTACACTTCTCACACACGCCCACCTCCAGCTCTCCCACTCAAACACTCCCTCATGCAGCTGCTGCCAGATGTGAGGCACATCACCGGACTCGTCCTGATGATCTACCTGTTCGTCTTTTCAGCCGACGATTATCTCAGTTAAATGGTGGTCGCAATGCCGCTTCTTCTAAACTTCATCTAAATATGACCTTCTTCTAATCGGTCTTTTAAAATCAGTTGCTGTTTAGAATATTCACTTCTGTTCCTGGAGTTTTTCTTCATTAAAACCATTTTTGTTTAATTTCTTTTAAACTTCCCAGTTGTAATGGGAACATCTGTTAAACATTAATCTAGAAACAGGTATGAAGGATTTGTGCTTATTTCATTTTATTGCTGATTTTGAAGAAGAACTTTTCACCTCCGTGTTGTTTTACTGCAAAGTTTGCCTCCATGGCAGCAACTTTCAGTTTTTTATGATGTCAGAAAAACTTGTGGCTGACCTAATCAGTTTGATGCTGTAGCTTATTATA